TTTCACAGTTGCCTTATTTCACTATGCAAATGGTTTCCAGTTGCATCCATTTTATTGCTAAAGACACGATTTCATTCTTTTATGGTTGAGTATTATTCTATAGTGTATATTGCATGACATTTTCTTTATCTGATCATGTGTTGATGGACATCTGGGTTAATTCCATATCTTGGCTCTTGTTAATTGAGCTGCAGTAAACAGAGGTGTATAAACATCTCTCTTGTATGCTTTTTTCCTTAAATGCCTGCAACTGCTAGGGCAGGGCTAGGCTAATACCAGAAGCCCAATGTGGTTAGCAGGGGCTAATGGCTGGAGACATTGGTTGCTGCTTTCCCAGGCGTGTTAGCAGTACGTTGGATTGGAAGCAGAACAAACTGGGACTGCTGTGATATGGGGATGGCATTCTGCAAGTAATAGCTTAATTTACTATACCACAATGTTAACTCCAAATTTCCTCACCTTACAAAGTGAGGTAATAATAGTGCCTTCTTGAGTCTAGAGAACCTCGGCCTGAGGCCACAGCAGTTACTGAAATTGTTGTTGTCTCTGTGCCAAGTTTCTCTACACTCTTTATTCCCCGGCACTGCACCCGCAAACTTGTGAGTCACCAAGTGCTTTGGAGGAGAATTGCAGATGCATTTCTGAAAGAATGATGATACAGTTGAAACTAACAGGGGTGTGGATGATCTGACAAGTGTCCCTGCATGAGTCTGCTCTGTACTGTCACTTCTGTCCCATGATTATTTCATGGAAGACTCTGGTTTCCCTTTATGACTTAAGCTATAGTATCAAATACTTGTGACTTGGGCTTCGTTTATAGTGTCTGGGATTTTCCTGGAGATGCTGACCCATGCCAGAAGTCTGGGACATGTGCACCATTTCTGCATGTTTTCTGGTTGAACTAGGCTTAATTAGGTTCTGTCTTTCGTTTTCTCTTTAAAAACTTGGAAGCTATTTTGTTGTTCCTGGGTTGTAAGGCTGAATATGTTTGGTGAAGTCAGTCTCTTGGGACCTAATCTGGCACCCGCTCAGGTCTTGTTAAAATGAGAACTTGAAAAGCCTCTTGCTGAGTGGGCTCCATCATTGTTGCCCAAATACTTCAAGATGTAAGCACAAGCCATTTTGTCCATTTTTAAAGTGTACTGTAATTTTTAAGTAACAGTATGTAGAAAACTTTGAACGATTTAAAAACACAGGAATGGCAAGTTTAATAAGATCACTTTCATGTTGTTTCGTTGCAAGTTTCTGTTATGCATCTGGCTTCCTAGGAAGTAATGCTGAACTTAAGTGGCTGCTTTGTCTAGGGACAGCCAGATTTTTCTCTTCAAATATTGCAGCTTGGCAGCAGTTGTTTCCTTCCAGTGGACATGTAAACGGGAGGTGTGTGTGGTTCCTTCAGATTAGTCATGCTCCTTTTCCCTCCACTCCCTCCAGCAAAACAGATTTGGTCATTTTATCTTTATTCTGTTTTCTGCTTATAGTACATACTTGTCATTAGTGCATACTAACATACAATAGATCAAAGTTAAAAACATACGAGTTGGCTGTACGAATTCTTAAACTGTGTGTGTTGTGATAGCCACAGGAATTGTAGTTTTTCTGCAATCAAAATTGCAATCGTAGAAAAGTAGAGTCATTTTGTTTCATAAGACTACACAAATCAGCGACTTGGAATTAGCAGGAGATGTTTCTGGGACAGCCTTCGTGACCAGAATAAACTCATGGTGCAGAGGCAGCCGGGCCAGTGACCACCCACAGGGGTGGAGATGTTGAGGACCCGCATGATGCCAGTGCTATTTGGACTGGGCCATTCCAGGTACTTGTGGTTTTAGCCGTTTGTCACAGGCTGTAGCTTCATAGAACTAGTTCCCTTTTCTGCAGATAGCACTCAGTGGTAACCAAAATCCCTATTGTTTTATAGATTTGGAAGCTGAAAGCAGAGAGGTTAAGAGGTTTGCACAAAATTGTGCATGACTTCTTGGCTGAGCTGCAGGTGAAGCTGGGTCCCGGGCACCCCAAATTAGTGTCCTTTCACTGATCCATGCTGTCTTTGCTCATCCATCCAATTAGCAAATGTAATCAAAGGGGCTATAATTAGTTTAGCTCCTACAGGCTTTTGTGGTTAGTGTTAGATTGGCAACTAGGTTGGCTCCCCTTACTCCCCATTTTGAGTCATTGCCAAATTTTGTTAGTCACGTATTGTGTCTTCACACCAGTGGCCAGATTATTTGAATATATATGTCTAATAAGTGTGCATGTGTAGTGCAAACTAGAGATCTTTGATAGTGTACCAGATGTGTACAGTCATTAGTTGTAGAAGCGCTGTGGCCACTATGGTAGTGATGTTCTGACTCTCACTAGCATTGTGTGTCTTTCCAGGCCTGTAAGCTTTGGTATTGCTTTCTTATGTAACCAAGGGTTGGCAGAACTCTGGCAACCTGAGCATCCCAAGAAGCAGATGCAAGGGATGCAGGGGGCTAATTGGCCACCCCATGTACTTGGCAGTTGCAGCAATTGGCACTGCCAGTTCGTGGGTATGAGAAACTTGGAGGTGTGAAGCACCCTTCCATCTGAGACAATTATGAATGCCCTATTGAGTACACCTCCCAGGGAGTCTTCTAGGTGGAATTGATTTTCTGCCAGTGGAACTTTGTCCATTTTTTAAGAGGAACTCTGAAGTAGACAGACTTTTGGGCTTACTGATATCCCTGAAAGATGAGAGGGGGAGCTGCAGTAGAAGAAAGGAAGGTGAAAGGATACATCAGTTTGCACTCATTCCAGTTGGGCCGACCCAGTGGGATTCTTTAAGTAACCTCTATTGACACAGTCTAGAAGTAGAGATTGTATGATGCCTGTGGCTTTTCCTTTCATCTTTCCCATTCCTGTGTTGTACTTCCACTGAGTACTTGAACTGTTTGCCAGGAAATAGTGGTATCTATGTGAGTGTAAGAAACATTTTGATGTAACTCAAGTCTGTCTTTGTAATTTGATAGAAATTTTTTTCTCAGAATTATTTGTGACAAATCCTTATTATATATCTAATTGTGGATGTCCAACGTATCTCAGTGTAGACTGAAGTACTCTGTTGTCTTTAAAATGAATCATTGAAACAAAATTTTAATTTGTGTTAGGTCTGAGATATCTTACAATACTGTTTTCTGTCCTGTTATATACCAAGTGGTAGAGCATTTGCTTATCTGAAATGTTAGAGATTGAATTGGGAAATTGTGTCATGTTAAAACTGTATATATCCAGAATTTGGTTTAGAAGCTGGTAGTTTCTTATGGAAAGTTGGAATGTAATTACTTTTAGCTTGTAATATTTAGATTACTCACTATGTTTGACTTTTATTTTTTTCACTTTCGTCAAATACACATAAAAGATAAAAGGGAATGTTATGTAACCTTCCATCACATGAAAAGCAGAGACATGCCCATTTGCTGAGACACTGAACACGTCGCATCACTACACATTTGCCAACAGAAAACAGTGTCTACATACGTACATACTGTGTGTAAAGTCGTCTCTGTTTTTACATACACCAGTTATTCTGAAGAACAGTCTTCAGTTACATGCCTTTTAGTCCACTTGTCTTTTTTAAGAGAAAAGGCATTTGTGAAAATTAGGGTGATGGAGTCTTCCATTAAAGGAATTTGAGTCAAGGAGTGTATGCCTGGCTTACTTCTGACTTTGGTTACCAGTCCCTGCCCGCTTGAGGTGTCAATGGGAGCCTGTGAGAGCTGGGGTTGGGAAGAAAAGCATGAGTGCATGTCAACCTGTATGTGGTGTATAGAAAGGATAGATAGAGCCTCTTAAAAGGATTGATTTTTGAGTTTCTTCTTTTTTAAAGTTTTATTGTTTATTTTTACTTGAAAGAGTTGCAGGGTTGACAGAGAGAGAAATTTAAAGTTTTATTATTTTACTTGGAAGAATTACGGGTGGGATGGAGGGAAAAAAGAGTGTGGGAGAGAGAGAGAGATCTTCCATCCACTGATTCACTCCTTAAATGGCTGCAATGGCTGAAGCTGGGCTTTACTGAAACTGGGAGCCAGAAGCTTGGTACAGGGACCCAAGGCCGTGGGTTGTTCTCTGCTGCCCTTCCAGGCCATCAGCAGGGAGGAATAGCCTGTTTGGATACTGTACTGGTCCTAGGATTTATTTATTTCAAAGACAGAGTTAAACAAAGCAACATAGATATTTTATTTGCTGCTTTACTCCGCAAGTGGCCTCAACCACGGGTGGCGGGGTGTGGCCCGGCTGAAGCCAAGAACCTGGACCTCCATTCAGATCTCCCACCTGGGTGGCAAGATTCCAAGCACTTGGGGCATCTTTGCTGCTTAAGCAGAGAGCCAGGTTGGGAGTGGAGCAATTGGGACTTGAGCTGTAGCCATTTGGCATGCCAAAGTCGCAGGCTGGTGGCCATTGCACCACAGTGTCAGTCCCTTTGCCTTCTAATATGTTAGTGGTCCTTATTAGGGTTGGGGTGGGAGTTAGGAAAGTATCCTGATGGCACTCCAAATCACTGCGTTAAGTACTAACATCTCATCTTGTCCTCAGTTTTTCTGTTGTGAAACACTTTTTTTTTTTTTTCCTGAAAATGTAAACTGGAAAATGGTGGCAATTGGGATTTGAGATTTTGCTGGGGATCAAATTGCGGATGAACCCTGTTGGGCTCCCAGGTTGTTGACACAAAGTTTACTGCGTAAGAATCCAAGCTGGGGGAGCTCTGCTCAGGACTGTTGGGGCTTTCCTCTTATCCCATCACCTTCCTTCATATTTCAGAAAATAAACAGTAAGTTTGAGTCCACAGAAAACCACATGTGGACATGCGTGAGGAGCAGACATCCCATTTTCTGCTGTAAGTTTTTCTTTTTGGTCATTTGGAAACTAGGGTCAGTTCTTACACACTGGGATGCAGGAAAAAGTGGATCTTGCTGTGCCGCACGGATGGCTTGTATGATCGTTTAAGTAATGTATCTTTGCCATTTTGTTTTTTAAAGGTAGTGTCTTCCCCGGCAGACGTAGCCGAAAAAGCGGACAGAATTATTACGATGCTGCCCACCAGCATCAATGCGATAGAGGCTTATTCTGGAGCAAATGGAATTCTAAAGTATGTATTTCTTAACTGCCAGTATTTTCTTGTTCCAGTAGTTCATGTATCTCACATTTGTTAGAACCATTAGCAAATGCAGTTGTGCTTTTGTTAAGCCTTTCAATATTGTTTTCTTATTTTATAAAGTGAACAGTCTGGTTTCTTTCTCATTGTAAAGGGCTTGGTTTTTCACTGAAGTCAAGTATGTGACTTTGGGGAATAAGGCTTTTGGTGTTTTTTTTTCCCCTCTAGTTTTTCTTCTTTAACTCTGGCATTAAACTTGCCCTTTCATTGGTAACATGTTTAAAAGACCTTTAAAGTATGCATTTTAAACCATACAACTGTTACGAGCATAATTTTCTTACAGCTTATAGAAATTCAGAGAAAGGTTTCTATGAAAAATAAAACAAAACATTGGAAAGAACACCATTATTTAGCATTTTATTGTATAATAAAAAGTTACTGTATGTCCTCTGGCTTAATACATGTGTAGTAAGAACTTGGGGAATTTGGAATTAAAGGTTAGCAGTAGCTCTTTAAATAAAATTATAATTTAGGTCAGCGTTTCCTAGCCAGTACTGTCTTCCCCAGCTCTAACTTTTTGATTAATTGCTGCTTATTTCCAAACCTTTGTGGTTATGTTAAGATGATTTAAGTTCTCAACTTAGTTTAGTGGTGATGTCCTTGGTTTTGTTGTTCAGTTTCAGCAGAGGTAGGATAAACTAGAAAACCTTGTAGGCACACAGAGGATAAAAGAAAGGGTTTGATTTCAAGAAGCTGTATTACATGAAACAAAAGTTTTTGGGAAATGGCATTGCTTTAGAAAACTAACAAACTTGGAAGCAATAGACACTTGGATATTAGGCAGAAAACTGATAAAACAAATGTTTAGGTTTCAGGGAAGGTTGAAAGACAGTCATTTTGGGTAGGGCCTGAAGCCCACAGTGTGTGTGGTCCCTGGCTCCTGAGCTGTCTCCTTAGCTCTTCTGTTCAGCTGTTGCCCTGCTTTTGCTCTCTGGGAACAGTTGACTGAGAACTTGTATGGGGACACAAGTGGACATTTAGGTTATTAATATCCTTTACTTAGATGTCATGGTCATGGGCTAACAGAACAGTGTTGTCTGAACAGTGCTGTAAAAGAATTTGGCCTGGGTTTGACTTAATTTTAATTTCTTCTCATGGGTGGTTCTTTATTTCCTTCTGAATCAGGATCATTTCATTACACCCAGGGCATGTAGAATTGTTGGAATTGTTTCCCATGTGTTTGAAGACTTTAGATCTTAAACACACACACACGCACATACGCACAGGGTCACAGAGGATGGAAATCTTATTTTTTTATTAAGATAAAGCCTGCACATTGACGGGTTCCCTAATAGAGGATACTGTTTTCTTTTGTGGACTATGCGCAAGCATGGCATTCAAACCACAGCAAATCCATAGGTCTACAATTTTTGTTGAAACCATTTTGTGTGCCATTTTTTTTTTTTTACCATGGAAAAATTTTGCTTTAATGCTTAGTAGTTTCTATCAATTTTTTTAAAGTTTTGTCCTTCCCTGTCTGTATTGATTCCTTTCTCGTTTCCCCATCATGTATCTGTGTCTGCTGGGTAATTCTTTGGTGAGAACTTTGGGCAGTTTGAAGTTTTTCATGCAATTAATAATTTATGTGAGAGTTTTTTAGCCAGTAAAGGTAGGTGCAGCCTTATTGATAACAAAGGAAATGGGAAGCTGTATGTTGTGCACTTAGAGTACAAGCAAATGTTTTCTTGAAAGAATGTACTTTACCTATTGAAATACAATATATTTGAAAAGACCGATTTCCTCTTTTCCAATACATGCATGTAAATTTACCATGAAGAACAGAAAGACTTTGTGGAGCTACAAATTCATTCCCATATTTTACTTCCTACCCCGTTGATATTTTATTTTGCCTCTTAAAAATTGCAGTTTTATAGACATGCTCTCCTGGAGTAAAAGCTTCAATTTCAGTTGCTCATGTTTTTGTGGAAATGATACAGATATGTCAAATCTGCAATATGGCTTGTTAAAGACAAAATAAATTACTTTTTAAGACCCAGCTACTTCACAAACAAAAATTTAAATCCTATCAAATACCCTTTAAAAGTTAATAGGTATTTTAAATTGCCTCCATCTTAGCTACTAAACTATGGTTAGTATGTGTTGCACCTGAAACCAGAATTTATATACCGTGTAGTTTATTAGATTTTTTTTTTTTTTGGATTGTTTCAAAGTTGGGTTTACTTTGAACTATAACTGATCTGGAAATGAATATGAGATTTTTTGAGCCAGTTGTAAGTAATAATATTTTTAATAGTAGATAAAAGACCTCTTTGATAAGTGACAGCTTTTTTTTTTTTGCAGATTCTGATCCTTTATGAAATGTTTATTCAGAGTTATAAACCATAAATATTTTTATTTATTTACTTAGAAAAGTGAAGAAAGGCTCATTATTAATAGATTCCAGTACTATTGATCCTGCAGTTTCAAAAGAATTGGCCAAAGAAGTTGAGAAAGTGGGAGCAGTTTTCATGGATGCCCCTGTTTCTGGTGGTAAGTGGAGACTAAAATGCACACACAGCAATTTCTGCCTGTCAGAAGCGGTAGTTAACGGTTGTGTGGAACTCAAGCTGCTTTTAGTTATTTTTGGTTCCATTATAGGGTTTGCAATCTCTCATAAAAACCCAAACTAAGATAAAACTACACTTGATCTTAGCCAAAAGGCCGAGAAGCGAATCAAACTAAGATAAAACTGACACGCTGTTCAGTACCTCTCACCTGGCATAGAAGGACATCACGATTTTGAAAAGTAGCGAAATCTTCGGTCAAGTTACTATGGATAGGCGAAGGTCAGTTTCTAGAAAATCTAACCTTTCAGAACTAACGCTAGAAGTAATTAGCTTGATTAATCCTGCAACCATTAAAAGACACTGAAGAAATGGTAAGAAAAAAATGCTGCACAAGGGAGACATTAGGCCAAGTGGTTTTGCAGGTGAATGTTATCATCACTTCTGGGAGTGGCTCATTGGTCCCCAATTTGTTCTGTAAAACCTGCTTAACTCATATTTTAAAACCAGACACATTAAAAAATTGTATGTAGTTGACTTGAGGCATGAATATAGACATAAAAATTTTAAGGTGTCCATTAGCAAACTATTTAAATGTGTAAAAGAGATCAAATACTGCAACCAAGTTTGGTTTAGTCCATAGATGTAGAGATAGCTTAATGTTAGAAAATCTGTAAATATAAGTTACCACATTAACATATTTAAATGTTGTATGATCATCTCAATAAAAGAAGGATACCCAATAATGGAATTTTAAAAGCTTTCTTGTATTAGATTTTTTTTTAAATTTATTTATTTTTATTAGATGGATATACAGAGGAGGAGAGACAGAGAGGAAGATCTTCTCTCCGATGGCCCACTCCCCAAGTGACGGCAACGGCCGGAGCTGAGCCAATCCAAAGCCAGGAGCCAGGTGCTCCTCCGGGTCCGCTGCGCAGGAGCAGGGTCCCAAGGCCCTGGGCTGTCCTTGACTGCTTTCCCAGGCCACAGTCAGGGAGCCAGATATGAAGCAGGGCCGCCGGGATTAGAACCGGCGACCACATGGGATCCTGGTGCATGCAAGGCAAGGACTTTAACCACTATGCTATCATGATGGGCCCTGTATTTGATATTAATAGCAGATAATTAAATATTTTGGAATATCAGAATTATAGATAGGATTTTTCATGATTTCCAAATTTTTCAAAGTTATTGCATAATCATTTAACTTTGTGTGTGTAGGTATGCATTCATGCCAGTATGGCAGTTAATGGAACATAATTTCTATTATATGTACATTTTGGAATTTGAAAATATAAGTCAATTTCTGTTTTTTCACAAAAAGTTTAATGATCTTATTATAAAGCTATCTTATATTTTTAACATAATTTTTAATACTGTTTATGTAGTTGAGAGGGATGCATACCCATGTGGGGTCTCCAGTTAGGGTGGGAGGGTTGACGTATGGAGGAAGGTGAGTGGGACAAATGTTTCAAAAACAAATTTTTTTTGAAGCAAACAGAGAAGGAGAGTGACCAAATTAGCAGTTTGGTCATTTGATGACACCTTAGACCCCGATGTAGGCAGGAGTGTTCTGAGGGTGTTACTTGACAGTTCTGAGACATTATTGGCTTTATTGCACCAGGGTTGAGAAAATCTTCCCAAAGTCTGTTGGCTGACCAAGTCCAACTTAGTGCATCCATAGGCCCAGGAGCATGTCGCAAAGCTTGGCCTGGAGAGTGGTCCAACTTGTTCTGCTTTCCATCTTCTGATGTGGCTCTCTGCTGGCCTAGTTGAGCTGGCTGTAATATCCTCTGTGTGCATCTGGGCATGCTGTCCACTGCACAAATATCAGCAACTGAGGAGGCCCAGTTCTGATAAATGCACTCTAAGGTCTTACCACATGTATTGTGATATTCCCTGTTGCCAGGATTTGAGTCCAGCAGTCTAGTTGGGGAGCCCCCAAGACCTCACCTGACTTGACTCTAGTGTGTGTCGGTCAGTACAGGGTCAGGTTCGGTCTGTCATCTGCACCAGTCAACATACATGCTGGTGGATGCAGCTGTCTGGTCAGTTCTGCCTTCAAACCCCATCTCTCATGAGAACTGATGGGTGCAGCAGTGTAGCCCAGCCCAGCCTGCCATAGGTCTGACTTCATGCACATCAGCAGGTGCTATAACCTAGTCAGGATGACTTACAGTAACCCCCACCAGACCCACCCCCAGCCCCAGTTTTAGCATGTGTTGGCAGGTACTGAGGCCTATCCCTGTTGGTCCCACATTCCATCTGGCTCTTATACACACATAGGTGCTACAGCTTAGCTGAGTCTACCCTGCTCCCAGACTTGGCCCACATGTATGCCAGTGGGTGCTGCTGCTTTGCCCAGCCTGGCCCACCCCCAACCCTAGCTGTCATGCTAACCAGTGGGAGCCGCAGCCCAGTCAGTAAGTGCCCACAGTTCTCCTTCCAGGCCCGCTCATAGTCCTGGATCTTGTGCGTGCTAGGGGTCCATCCTGACATGACACTTACACAGTCCTACCACTTGCCACTGTCCTGCCTGTCTTGGCCTGACCTGCTCCTACTCCCAGCTCTCAACAGTGGAAGCAGTGCCCCACTGGAGGAATCCCCAAAGTTCCCCTACCAGGCCCACTCCCAGTCCTGGGTCTTGTGTATGCCAGTAGGTGCTGCAGCCCAGTCTGAGATGGCCTGCCTGCAGTCTCTGAATTCAGTTGTGCTACAGCTTGGCTGAGTCTGGCCTGCTCCCATTCCCAGCTCTTATAGCAGGTACAGCAGCCTAGCCCAGCCAGGTCCATCCACAGCGCTTGTGTGAACTAGCAGGTGTTGTAGTCCAATCCAGCCTGGCCTGTACCCCGTCCTGACTCTTTCTCATGCCAGTGTGTGCCATGGCTTGGCCCTACCTGGTCCACTGCCAGACCCAGCTCAAACATGTGCTAATGGGTGCTGTAGCCCACCTGACCTGCCCTGCTCTTAGCCCCTGTTCTTGCACTCACCGGTGGGAGCTGTGGCCTAACAGGAATTCCTGTTTCCTCTGCCATTCCCATTCCCAGCCCCTGATCTCATGTGTGCTGGCAGGTGCTGCAGCCTGACATGGCTGTCCCCCTCATCCTGACACTCTCCAGTGGGTACTAATTACTCCCCAGATGGCTGCAACTGCCAGGGCTGCGCCAGACTGAAGCTGGGAGTTTCATTCAGGTCTCCCACTTGGGTGGCAGGAGCCCAAACATTTCTGTCATCTACTACTGCTTTTCCCAAGTCCTTAGCAGGGAGCTGGATTAGAGATTGAGGACCCATTTAGAATGGCAGCTTTACCTGTTGTTCCATGATTCCTGCCCCAAGGTTAGTTTTTTCCCAAAAAAGTGATATAGATGTTGTTGTACCTGTATGCTTCACCTTCAATATGACCTCATCCCTTGTTAAAAGTTACCCATTTGTAAACTACTAATTTCTTTGGACATTGTCCTCATAAAATTCTCATAAAACATGAATGATTTCATTATTCCTGCATACAAAGATCATCATCAGTTTGATACTGTTCTTGCTTCAATCTTTAGCAGAATTCGTGATATTACGATAAGGGCTTTTTTTTTTTTTTTTGCCCATATCCCTGCATATTGTCTGAAATGTATCTGCTGTGTGACCAGACCTTGCCTCCCCTCTGCTTGGCTGAGTGTGCCAATCTGTACTAACCTGTGGCTTCCCTGTCTCTCTCCTCCTGCTTGGCTTTGGGTATACAACACACTGAGCTTTCCCTATTAATAGCGTCTCATGTTAGCATATTTGTCAGTTTATAAAATACATGCTACTTTCCTATGTTTTTAAAATATAAACTCCTATTTTTCCTATCACTTGCAACATTTAGTAATCTGCATCCTATGTTCATATGGAGGATTTGTGTTTATTTTAACACCTATGTATGAGGGAGGGGATGGTATTTGTCTTTCTGTGTCTTAATTTCACTCAATTCGATAGTCTAAGCTTCTGTCCAATTTCCTGCAAGTGATGGGATTTTATTTTTTAAATGACTGGATAGTGGATGTGTTCTGTAGCTTGCTTTCTTACTGTATATGCTGTTCTTGAGTTTCATCTGTGTTACTGTCATGTGTAACATGACAGTGTTCCTGACTTAGTGAGTACATTTGTAAAAAACAAAACACAGAAAAAAAAAGCAAAAAACAAAACAAAACAAAAAAAACCCCTCCTTGAAACGAAATAGCTACTCAGGTGAGCACCAGGCAGCTTTGTTCCCTGTGTCAGGGCTTATAGTTTGGCAGCCCTCCTTGGTTAAATATCCATGTTCACAGCCTGCAGTGTTTGGGAATCACATAGTTGTTAGCATGTAGTACATTTGTTTTAGCTGTTCTGTGATACCCTATGTAAGAATTTCATGTTGTTATTTCTATTGTGGTGTACCTTTGGATTAAATTTTGTCTTTTTGTCTCATTTTCCCCAGCATAATGATTGGAACATAATTGCTCTCAGTAAATATTTAAAAACTTGGTTTGAGTTTGGCTAGAGAAACTAACATGTTTGTGGGAGAACCATGATAATCCCATTTTACTGAGTGTGTATCATCTAGAGCTGCTCAGCATAGTGCTGTTGGCTAGAAGAACGAAGACTGGTGGACTTGGGGACATCCATCCTCTGACTTGTTGAGGCAGAGCTAGCCTGGCTCAAGCCAGAAGCTTGAAACGTCATCTTGGTCTCATTTCTGTGTGCTTCTAAGGTCCCCAGGACTGGCCAGGGAGTGAGCATGTACTGTGCTTGAAACACCATGTTGTGTTTTACTATTTGGTGTGATTAAGAAGTGTGATTATGATTGAAGTGCTAGGCATGGTATAAGAAGTCAAGGACTATCTGTATATATTTTTAAAGTCTATTTTCATCTGCTTGAAAGGCTGATGGGCCCTGTGTTGTAGCCTAATGGCTAAAGTCCTTGCCTTGCACACATTGGGATCCTGTATGGGCACTGGTTCATGTCCCGGCTGC